ATGGGGACCTGGGATAAATATGTGAAGATAAATATATTAACCACCATTAGTCAGTTCATCAGTTCCAACAGGAAGTTGTGCTTGTCAGATTGTTCCTAAACAAAGGTCACAATTTGGAATCTCATTAATTATTCTCTCCAATCTATAAACTGACTTTGCACATTCAGTGGGAAGAAAATGGCAGGCTGCCATAAGGACCCAGAGGCTGGGCCAGCCCAGGAAGCTTAGTGAAGAACCCCCGCCCCAGTCCTCCCTGTGCAGGAGGAAGGGCTCGGGGAGCCTTAACGCAGTGCCACCTGGGACCAGACCTGGTCTGCTGCCACAGGTCTGGCATACAGCCTGCAATACTCGTGGGAGGAGATGTGAGTTGCTCAGCTCTGGGCTTCAACATGCACTGGCCCTGGCTTGGCACACTACGAAGGCCATTCATGGCTTCCTTGCTCTCAGAGCAATTCTCAGGCTGTTTTTTTTTTTTCTTCTTTGCAGTGCTGGGGTTTGAGGCCAGCACCTCAGGAATGTGAGGCAAGTGCTCCATCACCAGGCTGAGCTCCATCCCTCACCCAGTTCTTAGACCATCACCCTGCTATAGTGACTCAGAGGAGAAGAGTACATTACACTATCCCAAGGACAGCACAAGGCTCGGGACCCTAGGAATCCGTAACCATTCCTTTAATATTTATCAGAGACTGTGAGGTCCCTTCATGGCAGCCTCCTCTGTGCTGCAGCACTTTGTTCTGTTTCCCCTTGCTTTTTCTTGTTTTGACTTGGCCCAAACTCACTCTGCAGAGCTCTTTTGACCCCACTCAACCTTCTGGTTTTTCCTACTCTTAATACATGTGAAACTGCCACTGTTTAAAAAAAAAATTCCAAATTAGAGAAAAAACATTTTTATCTTGGTGTGGTGGTGCATGCCTGTAGTCCCAGCACTCGGGAAGCTGGGATAGGAGGATCATCAGAGTGCAAGACCAGCCTGAAATGCATAGTGAGATCTTGTCTTAAAAAGACAAAAAAGGGGCTGGGGAGATGGCTCAGTAGAATAAGTGCTTGCCTGGCAAGTGCAGGGCCCTGAGTTCAATCTCTAGTACCGCAAAAAAACCCCACAGAACCATTTTTAGTTATGCAAGTGGCCCCCACCTGTAATTCCCATACACAGGCAGCTGAGGCAGAAGGGTCACCACAAGCAAACTGGAAGCCAGCATGGGCTACAAAGTAAGCTTGGAAAACTCAGCAAGACTGTCTCAAAATAAAAATAAAAAGAGTTGGGAGCACAGCTGAATGCTACCGCCCTGGGCCTAATCCTTGGTACCAGCGGGGGGGGGGGGGGGGGAGCCATTTTAGAAATGAGACTTTTGGTGAGCAGAGTTCTGTATCAACTAGAGCTCAATTCATTCTAGTTTTCTACTTACTTAATTCTTTATGACAGGTCTAGTTTCCTTGCTCCTGAAAGATTTCTAAATGTCTAAGCCATAGTTGAGATGAAGACAGGGAACTGGAATATATACGCCCTATCTGGCACATAGAATTTGCCCACCATCACCTCCTCCACCTCAGCTGTTACCTCAGTCAAAACCTGAGGGCTAAGAGGGAGCCCTGCCTCTTCTTCTTAAAGTGGCGCCAGGTAAACAGGTATTGTGGTGAACACTGTCATCCCAGCACCCAGCAGGCTGTGCCAGGAGGACTGCAAGGTCAAGGCCACCCTGGGCTGCCTGCAAGACCATCTCAAACCAACAAGCAGGCCTTGCTCCTCTTTGCATGCATCTTCATTTCCCTGGACTCAGCCTCAACGTGAACATCTTTGCCATGGAATTTGGTCAGCTTCAGCAGGACCACTGACACCATGATGGGCCGCAAAGCAAAGGGGTGAACCAAGAGGAGGGCCTGGCTATTTGTTTTCCTTTTTTTTTTTTTTTTTTTTCCTTTTTAAAAATAATCCTAAACTGGTAGTGGTGGTGCATGCCTGTAATCTCAATACTCTCAGGAGGGTGAGGCAGGAGGGTCATTGCAAGTTTGAAACCAGCCTGGGCTACCAACTGAGCTCAAGGCCAACCTGAACTGTATAGCAAGAGTCTGTCTCAAACAGAAAAAAAAAAGTGGGGCTGGGTGCCAGGGAGATAGCTCAGTGGCATAAGTGTCTGCCTGGTAAGCTGGTTTAAGTGTAAGGTCTTGAGTTCGAATGCCAGTAACCCCCTCAAAAAAAAAGACAAAAACATCCTTCAGGAATCTAGACTTTCAGGTATTGCACTTGAAACTAAGTACTTACATCTTCTAGGAGGCAAACAGCAGCGGGATTCCCTCGGAATGCTTTTGTTGTAAATGCATCAGCTATGAAAAGTGGGAGCTTCATGGTCCTCAGGGCTCGCGCTGCTGGCACCCACCGCACTCCTGGTGAGTATGAAAAGTCAGACAGTTAATGTGTTACTTGGTGTGCAGGGTCAACGAGCAAAGTCAAGCAATGACAGTACCACACCTCCATTCCAAGATAAGTGAACCCCGAGGGCTTACACCTCTACACTGAATTTGTTCTAGAATACTGGCTAAATGCAATAGTTTTTCAAATTATTATTTTTTCTTAAAGCCCAACCAGTAAATGGACAAATGAGCAGATATTTATTTTTTTTTCTGTTTCTTTCTTTCTTGTTTTTTCTTTGGTACCAGGAATTTATTTTCAAATTATTTTTATTGATTTGTTTAATATCATACATAGCACTCAGCAATATAGTCATATTATTTCTTAGAGTAACCAAAGCTAAGTTAGAGGGGCCGGGGAGATGGCACAGTAGAGTAAGGGCTTCCCTGGCAAGCACAAGGGCCTGAGTTCAATCCCCAGTTCTGCAAAAAAAAAAAAAAAAAAAAAAAAAAAAAAAGCTAGGTTAGCCCAAGCAGGTAATGAAATACATGGAAAATCAAAGAGACACATGTTGAGTATAGTCTCCCATTGAAGATCACTACTTTTGTTTCATTTTGGTTTTGGCTTTTTGAGGTTGGGTCACAGCCATGTACCACCACCACCACAGCCAGCAAGCTTACATTTTATAACTCAGAACGTTTACCTTTTTTTTTTTTTTTTTTTTTTTTTTTGCGGAACCAGGGATTGAACTCAGGCCCTTGTGCTTGCCAGGGAAGTGCTTATTCTACTGAGCTATCTCCCCAGCCCCACCTTCTTAACAGTATGCTACAGTATGAACATTTTCCAAGGATATCAAATCTTTAAAAACCCCATTTTGGGCTGCGGATGTAGCTCAGCGGTAGAGTGCTTGTCTTGTGAGATGCTCTGAGTTCCATCTCTAGCACTGTAAAGTAAGCAGAAACAACAACAAAATTATTTTGACTAAATGAAAGGAGCTGTTGATCAAGTGTAAGAGTTTGCAAACTCTGGCATGCATTAGAATCACATGTGTGTGTGTAAATATCGTATAGTCTCCCTAGTATAAGAACTC